CGTCCCAGAAATTGTTCGTTCTCCACAGATCCCACAAGGAAATTTTGCCATATTCCTATCATATAATTTCCAATGCAATGAGCACCCTATATCTCGCCAACAACTTTTTCCACAAATTGTACCATCTCGTTTAATATATGGGCAGGTTAAGCGCCCCGAACTATCTCTTTTTACGTATTGATAAGTTGGATTTCCCATTCGAAGTGTTTTAATATATAACATATAAAACCCGTTTCACTTTTTATGCGAATATATTTAATATTTAAATCCCGCCTTCTCATAGTCAGTCTATTCGAAATCAGAAAGTAGATAACATACACTGGAACGTATATATCTTTTTTCTGATAGATAAAGAAATCAATTTAAACTTTTCCAAACTATTTTGTAATAATATAATCGAATATATATTGATACTATATACCATACTAAAAAAATGTACATCTAAGAGCTAGAATATACTAAAGAAACAATTACTGCTGAGCAATTATCCAAATTGGCTAATCGTTGGAGAAAGCCAAAAATCTATAACCCCAAAACGAATCGCATGATTGCAATCGATGGACCAACATATAATAAATTGATACGTGATGGATATGTGCATTGGGAAGAAGAAGGACTCTTGATTCCTCCATCACCATTCGAAAATTATATTAAAAAATAAAAATAAAACACAATATCCAATTAATATAGCCTGGGATCTTACCCCCAAAGCTATAAAATTTTTTTCGTTATATCCTATGTATTGGTAATTTTCAAATTGACGGATCCGACCCAAGGCATTGACGTGTATCATATACCTGGCATATATAGATTATTTTTTCCAGAACCTCTTTAAGTAAAGCTATATCCTCTTTGATACCTTCTATATTTTTGGTTATCTTATTACGTAGAGCTATGGATTCCAAGACTTTATTTCGGGAGAAATGGCATTTCGTGCCTGATCGATCTCGTGTCTTACCCATATCCATTTCTCGATAGAATTGTATCAACCGCATTCAATTTTTGAGTTATATACCGACTCATGATAATTAATTTCGATTTGAAAAAATATTTACCATAGTTATAGTCCACACAATTATACCATAACAACAATGTCGAAATTAGCTACAAATTTCGTAAATCAGTATAACTTAACTCCTCAGATGAGTATAGCTGAGCTTGGTAATTATGCTAAAAAAATATGTAAAGAGATTAAAGATTATAAAGCCCGTGATCATGCTCGGAATAGAATCCAAAAATTAGGATTTAGCAAAGATCAAACATATACTTTAATTCCTATCCAGACTTCCGGAAGACGTGTTATAGGACGAGACCCGATTAAAAAGCTCGCTCAATATATTAAGGATAATGAAGATAATCTTGAACCCGAAGACATAAATATGCTAGCATATAACTTAGTTAAAACAGCTCCTACTGTAATAGCTCAATCATCGCGTCTTAAATTACTCCGAAAAGAATTGCGTTTACTTAATGCTAAATGTCTTACAATAGAAGCAATATATATACCAGATATTACTCAAAAATCAAATAAAGAACAAGCAATAAATCAGGAACTCCGTGAAGATGAGGATACGATTGTCCCAAATACTTTTATCTGGAAAATGTTCAGGAAAGACTTAGTAAGTGTGATATAACAAAACCACCCTCTATGCAGAATTTAATAGACGTAATGATAATGTTATCTATGAGACCAGCAGATGTTGCAAATCTTCGTATTGGTTACTATAAACCATCTAATGCTGATTGGTACGATCCTAAATATTCTTGGTACTGTACTGGATATGCAAAAAATGCAAAAAATGAGCCCAGACCATTTGTATCTATGGAAAAAAAATCCAGAACAAGCTAGAAAATTACTCATTTGGATCCAGAAAGCAATTTCGGCGAAATTTCCATTTCTAATAAGAGATAAAGATGGGGATGTAAACGTTCACCCGATTAATAAATTTCTAGCGGTTCATGGAATAAGCTCATCGCATTTGAGAAAAATTGGTTCTGAACATGCTATTGTTATTCATGGAAATAAGAATGATTCCAAACGTAAACGTCTCCGTCAATTAGCATTAAGACACAAGGTAATTAATATCGCATCAGATCATTATGGTATAATGAATAATAGACCAATTATTCCAGTACCTAAGCAAGAGAA